AGCAATAGTTCATCATGATAAAATTAAAACATCTTTTCTTTTGAAGATTATAAAAAAAGAAATTTCTCCATCTTTTTCTTTTCTTCTATATTTATATTTACTAGCGCTTCACTTGATCTCTTTCTTTCAACTTTTTATTTACAGACTAGAATCAGCAATGGTTATAAAAGTAATAATTTAGTTACTTTCAGTGTGGTATTGTAACTCCCACTTCGCATCTAAAACCGAAACAATACTAAATTTCTTATATTCTTACTTTAGACACAGCCAGCTTTGGTACAAAACCACTGAGGAAAGAATTTATTTGTGAATAGAGGCTTGTAAGATGAGTGTAGTTATCATATATAACTCTCTTACAAATAACCTGGTAGCTGTAAAACAACTTTAAAAAGGGAGATAATAAAAACAGAAGGGAAATAACTACTGATAAAACTTTTTTTGGAAATTGAATAGCCATAATGTTGCAAATAGGGCAAATCTTCTTTTATTTTTTTAAGTTAATGTTTATTTCACAAGAGATCTGTTGCATGAATTTCATTATCTTAATGTCAGTTTAAGTTAGAGGATGGAAGTTTTATACATAGATTTTAATATGTTCATATTATTTTTTCCAGAGCCTAATAAGGAAATATGTGATTCTTAACTAAATTGCTGTAGGATTTATGAATGAATCTGACATTTGATTGCCATTGTCGAGTTCATTTTTCACAAACAATGTTCCCTTGAAGCTATGTTCCCTTCTACAAGTGGTCACTATGGATTCCATAAGAAATGGTGATAAATAGGCTAGTTCATTATTGAGTAATTTTTGCTAAATTTTACTATACATGACTTACTGCTTTATTTTTAAAGTAAAGTTCACCCTGTACAAGGCCTGGGGTCACTTGAGGTAGCAGATTTAGTTGAGGGGTAGTTTATATGGATAAGAGGGGAAGATAACTGTTAACTCTAGACTTAAACAGGTTAAGATTATAGTGATCAAGGAAACAAGTTCTTGGGAGTGGTTTGCGGGAAGAAGCTGTTTGTGTGGAACTTACTTCTTGCCAATGGAATACAGATGGAATGTGGGTGGTTTGCTACTATGTAAGTGGAATGGTGGGTCCTAGCCATGAAGGTTAAACCTGGCAGAACCAAGGAATGTAGTTCATCTGAGCACTTTCCATGGAAGTAGCAATAGGGCAGTGAGAGACTCACCACATCCCTTCTGGGTTAGAGTGTAGAAATAATTCATCACCCACAAGGACTCTGAGACACTTTTGAATTTTATTGTCAGAAAATCCTTTGTTATTATAATAAATTATAATGATATTTGTGTTTATTTTTTATGTTTTTACAGATTTTTTTGTGAATGAAAACCTGGATGGGAGCTCTCATAAGCGTGCATATGGCTTTTTGCATTGCCAATAAATTACGAATAAAAAGGGTGTCATTTTTTTCTTAAACCAGTTATCTAAAAATATATATTTACCATGTGAACTTGCAATTATAGATATTAATAATGGTATATAATATTTTTTTATGTAGGGGTTCTCTGAGATATAAAAACTATATGTTTGAGTTCCAAACAACAAGTAAAAATAATCAATCCAAATAAATAAAGTAAATAAAAAACAAATTAACAAACCAATCCCACCAAAATAACTGTTAGAATAGACTACAACAGTCAATTCAAAAATTAGCTATAACTGCTATATGATGATCAAAAAAAAAAAAATATTTACTATGTTACTTAAAAATCAGATACCAAAAAGAGTAAATAAAAATATATAAAATAATAAATAAATAAATAAGAAAAAACAAGTAAAATAAATTAATCCAAATAAATAAACAAATGAACAACCCACTCATACTAAAATAACTGTTAGAACTAATAAAAATAAATAGTCAAAAACAATTAAAAATAATCAATCCAAATAAATAAATCAAATAATAAACAAATTAAAAACTGCCCCCTGCCAAAATGACAGATAGAATAGGCTACAGCACTCAATCCCAAAATTGAAAAAATAGCTTTATCTTCCCAGACCAAACAAACTATTAAATAAATGACCTAAACAAATCTCGAATTTTTGTTTTACTATATTAATAAAATAACGAAAACTGAAAAGAATAAATAAATATATAAAATAAAATAAATAAAAACATGTAAAATAAATTAACCCAAATAAACAAACCATAACCACCAGAATGGACTACCCACAATGCACCACTGACCCATATATATAAATAGTTGAGAAAAAAAACCAACACTTGTGGCCTAACAATTGCATCTAGCATGAAACAGCCCATCACCTCTGAGTGTTGATTTCATTATTCACTATATATATATATATATATATATATATATATATATATATATATATGGCAAATTTGAAAAATTATAGACAATACATTTTGCTAGAGAGTGTATGCTCACTTTAGTGTCCTCAGTTTAATCTGAGGAAGCCAAACAGAACCTACACTGTCTGGTGAAACACATCATTAATAAATTTTACACTTTTCATCTTCATTTTTGGATACCTTTATATATTCTACAAACACATATATACATATTCACACACATTTTTATATACATTGAAGTCAACACTTAGAGGTGACAGACTGCTTCATGCTAAATGCAATCATCAGTCTGTTGCCTCTGAGTGTTGACTTCAATGTTCACTTTTATATTTTCAGATACTCTATCTCTGATATTGATCACTTCATCCCATAAATATAGCATAACTTAAAACTATATTTCTTCATATACAGATATATAAAAAAGTGTAAACATTGTGTGGTAACAGTCTGTATTCAAATCAATGTCCATACTTCCTATATTTACATGCTGACATCAGTGTACACACGCACACATCTTATATTTACCTATGCTCCAGCCTGCATATTGGTTACTGAGCACTTTATAAACCAGAAAAAGGTTTATATTGGAATATATGCTGGGAATTGGAAACAGTGCCTTTATAACCATCATCATTTCTTCAGTTATGGAACCCTTAAACATCAAATAGCACTGTCTAAATATTATTGGAATCTTGTAGAAAATGGCTTCACTCTGTGCTTGAAATGGAGAATTATCTCCAGGGCTCGAACTCCTTGAAACTTTAAGAAGAAAATCTTAATAATCAAATATAATAGACCTGAGGAATTACTAAATCACAGCTTTTATATTATCTTCAAATGCAGGCACAAACAGAAACTACATCTAATCTTTAGGAGGCCTGTCCATGGAAATTCCGCAATTTTAAATTATGAAATAATACTTGGTGTCTATATGTAGGATTAATTGCTTATGTTAAATTGTGTATGTGTATATTTGTCTTCATATAATTAAATGTGTTGATATTTGTAGATGGCAATCTGGTACTTGTAAGTATGTACATGTATGCATTTATCTATGTATATTTACTTGCATGTATTTGTATGTGTTTACGTATGTATATGCATATGTGTGTATATGCATTTGTGTGTGTCTATATATATATATATATATATATATATATATATATATATATATGGTTAAAATGGGTTATAACTGATCTAATATTACCTTTTTCATCATTATTACCACTCTAACTTTATTCTTTTCATTGGTGGTGGCATTATCACTGCCACCATATACCATTGAAAAATCATATTTTCTATATTTTCTTTTTTATTTTTGCTGACTCTTAATATTTTTATATAAATTTACCTTTAATTTTAATAGTTATGTAAAATTAAAGTATATATATATATATATATACACACACACGTGTGTGGGTTGGGTGTATGTATACATATATATATATATATATATATGGGTTGTATATATATATATATATATATGGTTTGTATATATATATATATATATATAGGTTGTGTATATATATATATATATATATATATATATATGGGTTGTGTGTGTGTGTATATGTGTGTGTGTGTGTGTGTGCGCGTGTGTATATATATATGTAGTTATATGTATATATTTATTTGTATTCATGTATATTTTTGTGTGTGTATATGTATATAAGTATATATATATATATATTTGTATGCTTTACTTGATGTGTTTACATGTGTGTGTGTTTATATAGGTACCTATATATATATATATATATATATATATATGTGAACCTTTCATTTACCTTGCATAATTTCCCATTAGAATAAGTTTACAAACAACATTACTCTTATTCTTTTTCTTATTTTTAATTATTTTTTTTATTCTTTTCAATATTATTTGAAATTTTTAAGTTGTTTCAAATTTTTTTTCTTTATTTTATATTCATATTCTTTTCTTTTTCTTCTACTTTATTTTTTATGGTAATCTTTAAAACAATGTCAAGCATTAACTGTAAATTATATTAATCTGTATTTTTGAAATTAACCACAATATGCCTATATATGATAATTTATTCTTCCTTTACTTCTTTATCCCCTTTTCCCCATGCCTGCTTGTTTTCTTTTATGTCTCTTTTCTTCACTTTTCTCTTTGTCTTCTTTCTTTTCCTTTTCCTGTAAAAGGGCTTATTAAATAGGTCAAAATGTCTGGCACCTTACCCTTACTCTTAAGTACCTTTAATAAAGATAGATTTAAACATATTCCTATCTCTCTCTTCCCTCTCTAATTTCAATCATATCTGTCAACCTTCTCCTCCCCCTCTTTCTATCACCTTATATCAACTTAAAACTACCCCACAAAAACTTAAGTAAAATAGAAATCATTTTAACTGGTTTAACTAATTTAATATTAATCAATATATGTGTATATGTTTGTAGTGATTTTATAACATGTTTATATTATAATTTTCAAATAAATCACATATTATATATATATATATATATATATATATATATATATATATATATGTGTGTGTGTGTGTGTTGAGATTAGAACAATTTGGGAATTATATTAACTCATTTCTATGTACAATCCAAATATATTTTCCCACCTATATACACAAAAATGCATGAATATATTTGTATAAACTGTGAAACAGAAGTTTTCCATCACTTACCTATGAGGATCATTGTTTGGTAAATTGAAGACCTCAAAAGAGATGGCAATTTTTTCATGTGGTTTTCCTCTGAATATGTAAGTGCAATCTAGGTTGATGAAGTAGAGGCCTGGGTGGCCAGGAGAATTAAAAGAACCCTTTCTTGTGTCTTTGCTGTCATATAAAAAGCTGCACATGCCATCTCTTATTTGTTTACCAGGGATGTTGTAATCTGGAAAGAGACATAAAAATAAAGAATTAGCGGCATGTCTGCTTCAGTATTTTGTGAAATTGTTAAGACAAGTACCACATGAAACAGAAATAAAAAAAGGATGAGAAAAAATGAACAATTTCCAAATTGTCTTTGTAGTCAGTCAGTATAAAACTGTTGGAGAGATAATCATAAGATCCCTTTAGCAAGTAAAAGAATAGTACAGTCCTGTGATAATAAGTATGGGTTTTGTTTGTTTAACGGCATATCAACCTCAGTGGGTCATTTAATGCCGACAACTTTTTTTTTTCCTGGTAATATTTTTGCTTTGTCAAAAATCTATTTCTGTTAATGCTTCTTCCTCAAAAACATATAGCTGGTAATATTATTTTTTCAAAAACATATTATCATAGGCCTTGCTGTTGGATGTAGTTTATAGTCGTACCCAGGATGTAGTTCGTCGTCATACCCAGGACACAATATGTATGGGATACAGAAGAAAAGAAAAAGAAGCTGCCAACCATTGAGTGAAGTTTCATAATATAGGAGCCAAGTTTTGAAAACTAGTCAGGAAGAAAAGCTGGTCAGAGTAGCATTCGTCAAACCTTATCAGATACTGAATAAAGAATCAGAAGTAATAACAGGATGTGAGAAATATCTCTCAGCTAATATGGTACCTGGTTAAAATGTACATGCAAGTTTGTGGACTGAATTTGCATGGTCTCTCACTCAATTGCATTCCACACATACTAATCAAGGGGGTTGCAGTCTGAGGAGTTAGATGTAAAGAATGATGTGGTTGCATCAATTGACCCAGGGCAACACTACCTCCTCAAGGCACTTGATGTAGGCCTTCATGTTACATCTGGGGGTATCACCAACAAATTTGGGAATTCTTTTCTTATCAGAATACTCAGAATGAGTTTTCCAAGCTGCTGTACCTTTTTAATCACTACTCATCCAACTCTTTGCGAATCCTCTGCACTCTTCTCAGATTGACACCCAAACACACTGAAATATTTGTATTGGAGCTTCCGGCACAAAATGCAAAGCAGTACAGCATGCTGTTTTCAAATTTCTGGTGGAGTGATTTGTGTCATGGAGCTCTTTTTCTCACAGATGGTGCCCAACTGACCCTACTATACTGTGCAGTTGATAAAATCAATAACAACATGCATATGCAAAATTAAAAATATAAAATAGCAAAAATTTACACATTGCATTCTGTATATATGTATTTAAAAAACTTAAATTAACCACAGTATGCCTATATATGTTAATTTATTCTTCCTTTTCTTCTTTCCCCACTTTTTCCTCACACTCATGCTTCCATATTTGCTTTCTTATATTTTATCTTCTCTTTTTTCTTTGTCTCATTTCCTATGAGATGACTTATTAAATAGGTCAATCTCTGGTCCTTAGCCCCTCCCTAACTCTTAAGTATTTTAATAAAAATAAATTTAAAATTATTCCTATCACTCCTTTCCTTCTCTAATTTTGACCATATCTATTGTTGTCCTTCTCCCCCTCTCTCTATCACCTTACATCAACTTAAAACTACCCCTCAAAATTGTATAAAAATAATCTGTAAATTTAAAACCATTTTTTTATGCTTGGAAATGTGATCTGAGGAATCAGGAAAAAAACACCTTCCTGGGGAAATAAAATATAATCAACAGACCCTTAAAGTTGTCTGTTTTCTAATTTTATATATATATATATATATATATATATATATATATATATATGGACACTGAAGTCAAGCCTGATGATTGCATTTAGCATGAAACAGACTGTTGCCTCTGGGTGTTGACTTTAATGTCCACTTTTATATTTGCATATGCTCTATCACTGATATTGAGCATTTTAACCCATAAATATAGCATATCTTAAAACTATATTTTATCATATATATATATATATATATATATATATATATATTTTATAAGAAAGATACTTTACTTAATTCTTACCATATCTGTAACTTACAGTTTCATATGCAGTCACAAATTTTTGGAGTCGTCACTCCTTATTTGGTGGAAAGGAACGGACTATTTATCCGAATAAATTGCTATTCAGTATCTTATTCCATATATTAAGGAAGAGGGGGAGTGGGTAACAGAAAAAAAGAGATTGATTTCCCCAAGGGCATGGTAATGCCATATCAGATATTCTTCCCAAGTTACCCAGATGTATTTAGTGAGGAGGGGGAGCAGGAGAATAAAACTGACAAATCATCCCACACTTAATCGAGAATTTCATCTTGTGGTTGCAGATACAGTAAAAGTTAAGCAAAGCATCTTTTTTCAGTCTCCACCCCCAACATGGCAGAGAATGCTGGACAATGTCCTCAGAGATGAAGAAGAGACTTGAGACAACAGAAATATGGTTCTACAGAAAGATGTCGAGAATAAAATGGACTGAATAAGTGAGCCACTAAATAGTTTGAGAGAAAATGGAAAGAATCAGAATTGTACATTGAAATGTCTAGATCATATAATGAGCAAAGAAGGCTTGGAAATTTAACACCCACATGACATGTTGAAGGCAAGAGTGACAGAGGAAAGAAATGAATAACCTACCTAATGTAAATGGTTGGCATAACAGGGATAAGGAGGGATAGATAAATGATAAACACTGTAAAGAGCTACAAAGAACAAGAAATTGTGGAGAACCATGATCACACACATCCTGAAAGAACACACCACATAGAAGAAGGAAATATCAGTCAGCATTTTATATTTTACCGTGTATACTGTATTAGAAGATGTTTGTACATTTGGCAATTTTTTGTTATGAATATATATATATATATATATATATACACACACAGGTAAAATGAGAACAAATGGAGTATAATTCCGCTGTACGTAACATTTAACTTAAAAGAGGGCTCAATACTGAGAGCTAAATATTATTTATTTTAGGATATTAAAACAAAAACATTAAAAATTGCTACACAAATATGTTTCAACACTAACATCACCAAGGAGAAGGAGACACATTTGTAAACTACTGGTGAATAGATATTTTATAACTTTATATATATATATATATATATATATATATATATATATATATATATAAAGTCAGTAAGTGAATGATAAAAAGAAAAAAAAACTTTTTAGTGATGTGTTTCATTCTGAGATGGAACTTCTGGCTAATAGCAGTTTTATTGATAGAATCAGTCTTATATAAGGTAGTGGGGAAGAAGAAAAGAAATGATAACAAATGCTGGTTCTAGATGATATTGAAATATTAAAGATGCAGAGATGATCAGTTTAACATTTAAATTCAATTATAAAAATAAAAACAAAGGTGTTTAAAAACTGAATGAGATAAGCTAACATCTAGATACACCGAACATCAAAATTTAGATTTAAAGACTGAGCATTTCTGTGTCTTTAAGATTTCAATGTTAACTGTAACTGACATTTGTTTTATTTTTTCTCCACTTATTATATATAAGACTGACTCCATCAATAAAACTCTCCTTCTCCCTATGTACATATATATATATATATATATATATATATATATATATATGTGTGTGTATGTGTGAAATATTCCTTGAATACTACTTGCTTACTTTTGCCTTACCAGACTTTGAATTATAGCATTTTGAGTCCTCCATATGTTTTGACTGACCATTCAACCATCTGATGAATATTCATGAACAGTTACAAATTAAAACCTTGATAAAAAAAATGCCATCATTGATCTTGTATATAAACATGTGCAACAAAATAAATCTTATATATGCATTGGTAAAATCCCTCAGAGGACAAAACATGTTGGCTAAGAATAGTTTTTTCCTCTTGTCTTTTTATTCATTCCGTTGCTTTACAGATACACTCTATCCGAAAATAATATATATATATATATATATATATATATATATATATATATTTTCAGTATATTTTGACAGTAATTGTACACTCATCACAGGGATCTATTGCATAACAACATTTTATATACACTTCTAGTACACATCTGACCACAATTTTGACCTTCTAAATGCCAGTCTGATTAGAAAAGAAAAGAATTCACAAAGAAAAAATGCATTGAAAGTGCACTGATCTCACAATATGCAATTGTTAACCTCAGACTGGGCTCATATATAATATCAATGATCATGACAAAAAGCATTAGTAGCACAGCAGGGTATATGAACTAAAAGAGAAAAAAAAAAACATTGATCTATTCAGAGTAAACTAATTTCAAATCTAGCAGACATTAATGGCTTCATTATAAGGAGGGGAACTTTCTGGATGTAGACTCTGATAAAGATATTTATTACCTCTTCCTCAAATTTCAACATAATTTCCTTAGGCACTGGTTTTTCTTTCATTCTGACCTGAAGATGTCTACCAATAAAGATGTAAAAAAAAAGTCTGAATAGCCTTTCCACCTTGTCTCATTATCACCACATGTCTTATTAAAAAGGATAGACATTTTAAGTCTATTTAATTTATTGACCATTTTAATCTAGTAGGCAAATAATATTTTGAAAATTTCAGTGTTGCTGATATATAAACTAGTAAAAATTCATAATGTCCTTTCAACTCACATGAGACATCATCAGAATTTTGAGTAAGAAGGAATGAAAACCAAGTATATTTTAAGCAATGCATTGTTCTAAAAGTGTCATTATTTTTTGTTTGACAGCTAAATCCAATGCAGTAGAATGCATGTCATGTATCAGTGACATGTAATAGCTACTTGAAATAACATGCAATTATATAACAGAGAGTGAAAAAAGTGTTGCTGAAAATTTCTTTGTCAATCCAAGATGGGATTTCAAAAATAGCTTGATATTTGGTCAGATTTTAGAAAAGGTGTCAGGGTAATAACTTTTAAGCAACAGCTCAATCAATAAGTTTGTAACCTAATGTATAGCTATTAGTAAAATTTTGCTCTAAAATATCACTGCCTAATGATTAAATTTATGGGATTAAAGGGGAAGCGTTAAGTATATTAATAGATTATGCTGATAAATTAAATATTTGTTCCTCATTAAC